ACCTCAGAATTCATTTTTCATGGCAGACTGTCTCTGTGCCTTTGTGAAGATTAGAGGAAAATTGCAAGGTCTGACCTGGGATATTGGAAAAGTCTGAAGTTAAAATTGCCCATAGCTTCATAGTGGAAGAGTTTCCAAGTACTTAATAGTTTCTGTCTTAAAAGAGATGCCCAGAGTTGACTTCACTGGAGCAATTATGGTCTCAGGTTTTGTATCTCACTTTCAATTATAGAGCTTGTGTCATGTTTAAGCACACACTGGCTCATTCAGCATCCACATTTAATTTATGCTTTGTGAAAATGTTAACAGTACCAGTTACAATTAATTATCTTAGTTTCAGAAGCTACTCTCTATAAAACACTAAATATTGCATTAGATCCAAGTAGACAAAGGTATGTGTATAAAATGCTAAAGATTCCATTTCGTTGCTAAAGCAGCACATTCCCTCCGAAAACTATCTTTTACAAAATATTTATCTTTTACAAAATGTTTTCACTGCTTGCTCAGCTTGGGTAGCTGGTGAGCAGGGTCAGCTCCGTAGAGTTCCACGAGTAGAAAATTCTCACATACTTACCTTGCCATGAGGGGTCCTGGGCCAACCCATTATCATTTTCATACCACCTGAGGGGAAAAAAGAGGAAAGAGTAGAGTTAAAAATACATTTATAAACGCTTCATATCCTGCTCCTTCCCCACATTTGGCCTCTGTGCAGGGAGCCCTAAGGAAGCTGAAAAAGTACACCCAGTACCATGTTAGATAGATTTCAAAGTGTGAACATGCTTTACAAAGTAGCTTGCTTTGAGACTTATGACCATGATACCATTTTAGCCAAAAGTGTCAAACAGGAAGGAAATAGATTATGATATGATGAAAATTCTGACTCTCAGGTTACACTGAGAAAAAGTAAGGCTAAATTAGTACCTTTTAATTTTCCTGGGCTTAGCTCTGACCAGCTGCACTCAAGCTTCTGGAAAGAGCGGAAGGTCTACTTAAAACTACCACTTAAATTTTAATTATTAGTATTTAAGTAAGTAAACATTGCAAGCAATTTTTGAGTCTTTTACTCATGCAGATTCTTTGTTAGAGCAAGGTGATTACCTGTCACAAAAAGGCATCATGTTAGAGAAAGGGACCCCCACCCAAGGAAAAAAAAACACTACCAACATGGTCTCTTACTATCAGAACCAAATAAGCATATTCATTTACATAGATCTACAATTAGTTGTGGAGCATTCTATTCCTTTGCTTAATGAGTACTTTATTTCTACCACATTGGTGTTTTCAAGCTAACTATAGAAATCTCTTGTTAAAATCCTTAATGTGTAAAATCTTAAAAATGGCCTAACACAATATATCATCCATATCTGAACAGATTTAGACTTTAAAACACTTGGGGGTTTTTTATCCAGTTAAGAAAAAAAAGATTTTTTTTTTTTCGGTCAAAAGCTAGTATTTATTACATCAATAAGAAAAGCATCTTGGCTAGCTCTGAGATTTCAATTTCTTTCCATTTTAGCCATTACTACCAAGAAAAGGAAAAAAACCAAATCAAGAACATATATGCTGCCAAAAAATAAAAACACCTCAGATGTGGTGTTTTTATTTATGAACTGCTAGGCAGCAGTTCCCCCTTTATGGTTCACACTTGATCTGTAGCATTTCGGGTAATTAAATGAAACACCTCAGATATTTTCATAAAATATCCCCATATAACATTGTACTCAGCTCTTCTCCTGCTACACTCTGGCCTTCCCCTTTTACCACTCTGAAGCACCTCCTTGTTCTGTGCCCAAAGTCCTGACTATGCCTCATACATAAAACTGAAGTTCTGCCAGTTCCCTGCCTTCTTCATAAAAAATTATGTCCATGTTCTTTTGCATGGACTTTCATCTCCTGATTTTCATGAACTTCAGAGAAAAAAAAAAAGTCCAGTGTCGACTACCGTATGTGGAAGAAATAAAATTCCCTAATAAAAGGAATATTCTACAGACAAGCCTGGAATGTGTTTGTATCTCATGGGTTTCATACATGGCAATTAAAATCCTCGCGTAGGTAGATACTCAGTAGAATGTTGCTTATTCTTTGCAGTTCCACAGAGGAAAATTATCCAGAAATGGTTATTTTGTTCTTTTAGATAGCTTTTTTTGTGTTTGTGTATAACCCTATCAATTTGTACCCTAAAATGCTGTTTAAAACACCAGAATTTTGGTCTATTTTTTGTGAAAGATCTGAATCTTCCATTTACATATCAATGGATTTTTTTTTAATGGATGGAGAGGTTGGGCACAAGAAGAAACAATAAATTGTTTCTGTGTTCTGTTATGGTAGTATATATAATTTTGATAAAATCTTTTTTTAGGAGTGCAAAGAGCAACAATAATCCCTGATTTATAATTACCAGACCAGGAAAAATCCAGGTTAGTCTTTTTTTCTTAGTTTATAATAATTTGCTACACAAATGCAATGTAAAGGTAAGATGTTTAAATCAGAAAATGAGTTACTCATTGGCTATAGAAGCCAATTTTAAGAATTAAGATCTTAGTATAAGCAAAGGGATTGTGTCTCACATAAGATAAATTGAATACAGTTGTTATTACAGTATATTTAGCAGTGAGGCCATGGCCATAAAAGTTATGGATATTTATTTCAGACAGAATTCTCTCTGGTCCAGAGTTATATCTTCTTTTATAATGGTATAATTTATTTAGTTGTTTTAGCTTAGGAATACTATTAGCAATTTTGAGCACTTAAAAAGCTCACACCACCTCCCATCAATCCCTACCACATGTGAAGAAATTAACCTTCAATTACAGCAAATGAGAATTTTTCTGTGACTTCCTGATTTTTTTAGAAATTTGATTAAAAAAAACCTCAAAAGCAAGCAAGCCCCATGGTTCTTGAGAAAATTGAGTTCGTATTCAGCCTTATGTGATCATAACTGACGGGATTGTGACACAGGCTGGCAGAGCTACCTTATCTTGTATAAATTGTGAGCTGTGCCTCTTGCAGTTTTTTTTTAAGCCAAGTTTAAAGAATAATTGCATTACTGTTCTGTTCTTTTCCAGAAAAAAAGAACTTATATGGTGGAAAAACACCAGTGCTTGCTCCTGCAATATCCTAGTAGTGCCACAACCACAAGAAAGGGTAAAGTTTCACCTGTGTTTTCCATTTATTTGCAGCTTTTCTTTAGAGGAACAAGAAGTGCAAGTAGGAGAAGAAATATTTGCCACCAGGAAATTTGTTAGCTGGTTTTGAAACCACTCTGAGAAGTGGCAGAAAGACTAATGGCCTTATTACCATGCCTATGAACCAGAGGAAAACAATGTTCTTGGGAGTATTGTGTAATGGTACAAGAGACATATTTGTCTGGACGTCAGAGTATCTGATTGCAAGTGATAAGTGATTACCAGAAGTTGAAACACATTGTTATATAATCATATTAACCTCCAGTTATACAAACATACCTGATTTTAGAGCACCATAGATACAGGATACCTGGAAATTATAGTAGCACCTTAAAAATGATAAGGGGACTTGGATTTTATTTGAAGTGCCTGTTAGGAAACTAGGGTTTGGTAGAATTTGGCTCAAGGGTGATAATCCAGGTAGGATGCCAGGTGAAACCTGGAATGAAACTTTCACTCATCTCTGCCCTTGTGCTCAGAAGGTGAACAGTACTGGAGGGCAAGGGAACTTTAATCCTTGAGGAGCCTGTGGCAGTGGTAATTATGGTAGTAAAGACTTGAGTGAATTTATCCTTCTGCAGATAAAGGAAGACAACAACAAAATATATGGAATAATAGTTTCATCTGCTTCATATCCATGAGGTTTTGGGTTCTTTCCCAGTAGAATGCTATTTTGCCATCAACAACTATTGAAGAGATGAGATATTGTCTTAGTTTCTATTTGCTATAAAGACAAAACTTGATTTCTTTCTGTATTTTTCAGCTGAGCTGCACTGAGTGACATATCAGAGACATCTAGTGACCACTTGGATCTTTCATACATAACTTAAGTCAATGGAACAAGATGACAGCAGCATTTATGTGCACTGATCACAGTGTCTCCAGGTAAAATGAGGACTTTCTGCTCTAAAATGCTGCTTACAATTTTAAAAACAACAAAAGTAAAACAAAACAAAATGCCCATGTTGAAGTTTGCCATCCCAGGTGTCCATATCTTGCTGAATTATTTGCTTCCTTATTTTAATGCTTAGCAAAATTAGCCTCAGCTGTCCTCTGAGAAGGGGAGACACCAGGTCTTACATGCTCTGTGCTCTTCCTGATATTTCCAGACAGAAGGGAGCTGCTGGGGGCAGTCTGGTGCTGATTTGGAAAAGAAAATGAAATACAGAAAACACAGGACAAGACAGGGTGGAAACAACAGCAGAACACCACAAAAATCAATGTAAACAGAAAATATGGATGGGGTTGGTGGCATATAAATACAAACAGAAAATAAGGAACGAATTTTTAAAGTCATCTGAGGTGTGACTAACACTATGGAGGAAAAGAACTAACTTTTAGGAAGCTAAGTATACAAAGGAAAGGCTAACCAACAGATTTACTGGAAGGAACACACAGCCACTTTCATCAACTGAAATTCAACTCCAGTGTCTGTATTTCTTGAACCAGCTAAGAAAGCAGCATTGGCCAATGTTTGCTAAGGACAACGTTTGTCCTTAGCATGTTTTGCACTTAACCTGCCTACGTTGTGCAACACAACCTACTCCCGGAATATCCTTCGTTTGCTTCACTAGCACTGAAATCATAAAACCCTTTAAGATAGATGTGGAAACACAGAAGAAAAGTTTCTTTTCTACTCAAAAATTTGTTTGTTCTTTATCAGATCTGTGTCCTTGAATCTTCCTGGGCTTCTGTGATATGTGGCTCAGAGTAAGATCAGAAAATAGTTTACAAGTTATGATGGTTATAAAAAATATTCTATTAGGAAATCATAAACAAGCATAGTAGAAATACAGGTATATTTGAATATCTATTTTAGCTTGCTCCATCTTATTAATATGCTGGTGAAAATCCAGAGAAGGAGAGTTTATAATTTATCAAAACTACAGCAGTTTTTCTCAGGAGTCTATCACAAGAAAAATTCTGTCTCCCTGCAGATTTCCCAGGCCATGAGTCAACATGGGAAACCCACTAATGCAGGCCAAACCTCATCCTCTTCTCACATTTACCTAACCTGTGGTTTCTTCCAGGTGCAGTTGAAACGCTAAAGTTGTTCTCACCACGGATGCAAAGGCCAAGGTTCTGCCAGTGACCTTTTCTAGGGCTCATTTAGAACCCAGGTGATGGCTTGTCTCATGTTCTCTCTTTGGCTTTGGTGGGGTTTTTTCAAAAAAAACAATTAGAAAACCTCTGCCAGAAGGTTATTAAAAGCATTACATCAAGCACTCAGAAGCTAAGAAACTTGAAATTTAACAAGAAACTTTAAACAAAGGTTACTCATGCAAATTTAAAACAGCCCTCTTCTGTCAAGGTAAGTACAACTGGGTACTGCTTATTTGTTTTTCACAGGACTGGTGCCTTTTCCAGGGCACTCAATAAACAATGCTGCAGGAACTAGTCAGGCATCTGTGGGCACACCACTGAGGACAAAGGGCTCTACATCAGTTGTTGAAGTAAGTATGAACGTGCAGGGCACAGTGCAGAGTGCCTGTGGAGGTGGTCCAGTAGCATCTCAGACCAATATGGATACTGCTTACGCTCCCCCTCTTGTCTCAAAGCACTTTATTGCTCAGCTGTCTTGGCTGTTGGCCTTGCTGCAGCATCAGGATGCTGACCTGACACCACAAGGATGATGCGACCACATCTTACTTGTTTGAACTGGAGCACAGCCTCAAACAGCTTTCCTGAAAGTCTCCATTAAATAGAACCAACTCTCAGCTGGGAATAACTCTAAAATGCTTGGCAAGGCACCAGTGATGTTCCTCATCTTGAGGCCTCTGTACTCACATGACTGGTGTAGAGCAGCTTTTTCCTTCACTGAAAGGTCATTGTTCTGTTGGAGAAAACTGTTATTTACGATCTATAAACTTCCCCCGGAGTATTCTGTAAGATATTTAAGTATTGCTTCTGTAGCTGTCTCCTCTATGCACTCTGCAAACGTACCATTGATTTTTGCCTTTGCTGCTACAGTTCTGAGATTCTGCTTCAGTCATTATCACCGGTAAGTCCTTGGTCTGTAATGAGAATGATGATTCATATTTTATTCCAGGTGAATTTGTTTTGGCTTATCTTCAGTGACATTTCCAATTTAACATTTACACAGCCATTCTGTGGAAACATCAGGTATTTCAAATATTTATTGAGAAATTGCTTTGTTCTGCTCTAGGTTTGGTGTTTTAAAATGTGTGAAAGTGTTTCTACAAATTAAAAAAGTACCTTCAAGTATTTTCCTCACATTTTAAGTATGTTTGCCTCTTGAAGAAAATCATATGCAAATTCATATCAGATGATATGTTCTTTGTATTTCCTGTAAGTAAGAAGATGAATCTCAAGTTACATGCCCTATAAATTAGACCATTTAATGAGCCTTTCTTAATTCATATTGGAGCTTCTAGGTAAGTTGAACATCTTTTAATGTTTTTGCTCAAATTTTGTTGAGCCTATTAAACAATTACAAAATTTTCCATTTCTGATTTATCTCTCAACATTTTTATTATCACTTTCACCTATTTTTATAGACCATGTCACCTGCTGTGAAGATATGTTACAAATGGATGCTGCAATGGAAGAATGAGCTTTAAAAATTGTTTTATTCTTAAACCAGTTGATAAAGACAGCTTGACCCAGTTTGTCCTAAACCAACTTTCTCTTGCTAAAGCAACCATGTGTCTATTGCTCTCCTGTAAAATTAAAACTGAAACTATAGCTTTTTCCATGGGGCAAAATGTCATATAATGGTATCTGTTGTACAAAGAAGAGCTCTGAAAGGGATGTTTTGGGTTTTTGCTCTGTGGACTTTTGTAGAGTAGCAGACTGTCTTTTGGAAAAATATTTTAATGATTTGAAATAAGATAATTTTGCAACTACGTTGATGGCATTCATGTCACTGTAAGCAAAGCTTAACACACAGAAAACTTCACACCCAGACAGCAAAATTCTGAAACATTTTCCCCCCCTTTTTTTTTTTTAATACAGGACTCTACACTGGAGAGACAACCAGTCTGTTTTACCTTTGGCTTTAAATGATGCAGTTTCCACAGTTGTTCCACAAAATCTTAGGAGTAGCTTTTTTCCTGCTCCCATTATGCGCCCAAGGTAAACCTGCAGGATTTCTTTCATATATTTTCAAGCATTTGACTGAAGATGGAAGAGATGAAGGATTTATACCAGGTATGTAAAGTTACCATCTCTATTTTTATCCGCTGTGTTTCATTTTTATGCTTGGTAAACTCAGGGCTACCTTGCATAATCTGATATGGGTTCTACTTGAGAGAAAATAATCAGATCTTTATTAATTCTCTATATGAAGTAATATGTCTAAATCTCTCCTATTTAATGATTCAGTGGTTCAATCCACAAAGAAAAGGTTGTAGTTTTCCATAGCAGAAGGAACTTGCTGTGGAGTGCTTAGGCTGGAGCTGCAAGAAAGTGCTTGAACAGCTTAGAGAATTCTGTCAAGGATTCAGCCCCTAGACACAGTTAAAAATCAGCTAAACCTATGGCACAAGTGCCAGTGTTTTGAGTGGAATGGCTCAGTCACTTAGAGGGAAGACTAACTCAGTTTACCAATTGCAGTTTTCCATAAATATCACTGCTCTGCAGGTAATTTCCAGGAACGTATCCCCTATCCTTACAAAGATCAACGTACAAAGATATCCCCTATTTAAAACACAGCAGTAAACTAAACCATGTCAAACATTTTAAAAGTTCACATTCATTTTTCATGATTAACCTGTGCTTTATCTTGAAAGCCAAGTCTCAAACTGTAACACAAAGTAAGTAATAGCTGCTTTTGTTCCTAGCTTACATACCGGTGGCTGATGATGAAATGGGAGACATTAATCGTCAATTGGAACATCGGGTTTCCAGACTGGAAGGAGGTATTTTATCTGCCTTTATTTTCTGCTGTAACTTGATTAGTGGCGATAGATAAGATGAGCAAAAATGGCTTCTTAGGAAAAAGGCAGTATTTTCTCCAGTTTTGTTGCATTCTATTTATATCCTGTTTATATCATGCATGATAACTCTCAAATGGGGGAGGGAGGATTAGATTTTCATAGTTAGTGGGAGATGCTTGGGTAACAGTTCTGAAGTAGGAGTGCAAGCAAGTCAGAAATGAACCAGATTAAAACCACTGCCTATGCTGAACTGCTCCATGGGCACCTCATGCTCCCAACAGACAAATAAACTGAACACTGAAAACATACCAAAACAATAACAATTAGATCACATCTAAGATCCTACTCACTCAAGCACATAACACCAAATGTCAAGGACATTTCTATACTGCAAACCATCTCAGAGTCTGAGAGTCTCAAAGGAAGTCATATACTTCTTCCAAATGTAGAATTCCTCACTTCCTTCCCTCCATCTCCAACTTGTTTTGTGCTTCTCCTGTTTATTAATGTGCTTCTTCCCTTTATCCCTTCTCCTCATTTTCAGATTTCTTCTGGCTTTTTGGGGTTATATTTTTCCTTCCTTTTTTTTAGCTTTGATTTCAAGTTCACCTTTTCTTTATCTTTTCCTGAGTTTAATCTAAAGTTATGGAGGAACATAGCAGGGGTTAAAATTGGCAGTGAAGTGCCCACAAAACAGTGCATAAAAGGTTAACAGCTTTCCCCTCATCTTGCAGTCCTCCGCTTGGAAAAGACGATAACAGAATCTGGAGGAAAAATATTTGCTACCAATGGGAAAAAGGCCGATTTCAATACTACACTGCAAAAATGCAAAGAAGCTGGAGGGTCTATTGCTGCTCCGAGGAACCCGGGCGAGAATGATGCCATTCAATACTTTGTGAAAACTTTTAATACCTACGCCTACCTAGGGGTAAAGGAATCTCTTATTCCAGGCAAATTCCAGTTTTTGGATGGTACAGAGCTGAGCTATACTAACTGGCATTCAAATGAACCTTCTGGCAAAGGGGAGGAGGGATGCGTGGAGATGTACACTGATGGCACTTGGAACGACAAAAGGTGCAACCAGAATCGCCTTATTGTCTGCCAGTTTTAGTGCTTCCCTTGCTGCTCTCTGGCAGGCTTTCTGGAATATGCTTCTCTCTTGATTGTCTCCTTCATTTGTAGCTAGTGAACTCAGATAATGCAACATGAAAAAATAAAATTCATTCTTTCCCAGCCTGATTTATCTTTTAAACAAATGCCAGCTATAATTGTTTATAACAAAACCAGTGGCCATTTTGCCTGTTTTGTTATTCATTGCCCACTGAGTCTCTGTGGGTTTCTACTGCTGTTAGACTGCTAATTTATTACAAGACCAAAAAGTAGATTTCTTGGGCACATACCCAAAGTGACTTGCAGCCATAAGATCTTCCAGCACCCCTTGACCCATGAGGCTCAAAGTTGCGTGTATTTTGATCCCTTTCTGTAAGTTTCCCTTACCAAAACTACCTGTACAGACACTCCTGCTACCACTATTGTTGCTCAGCCTGTGTTTCCTTGGCCACTCTCACCCACAACAGATGCCCACAGGGCTAAGCTTGGTGGATGCCTACCCTACTGAAGCAGCCAATACTCCACACTCCTTGCAGAAGCTGCTCAGAGCCTGCACTTTCCAGCTCAGGCTAAAGGCTCTGCATAAGCTCCATGACATGGCACAAAGGCTGGTTGAGTGTCTGGGCATGCCTGCATACACATAAATCCAAGTGCCTGGCCATCAGTCACACTCACTCGCACTGTGTTAGTTCCAGCTTGGTCGTGGACAGCTGAGCAAGGAAACATTGCCCTCTGTGTGACAGGGACACACAGTATGAAGGTAACTGGGGAGGGAAAGCATGCTCACAGCTGGTGTGAACCCAGGGGCCAGCGAAGGGGCTGCTTGGAGCCTCGTAGCTCTGCACATCACTGTAATTCCAGAGCAGCAACTTGCCATGCACAACATTCCTACACTGGCTTAAATTCAATTACTGAATTATTTTGAGCACAAGGTCTCGCCACCTGCTCTGTGACAAGGCATGGCTCTTCCTGGCCACAATTCAGCCCTGTGTTTGATGTCAGGGCCTGCAAATAATTCTTGCTGTTATTCTCTGGCAGCTAAACAATTTATCTTACAGGTATTTACTTAGGATGATTAATGCAACAGGGCTAACTTCAAACCAAGACACCTTTCTGCTTGAACAGTTTGGTGCCTGCAGGTGGTCTACCTCCACAGGTTACTTGATTATTCACTCCAGCAGTATTCAAATCCTTAGCATCACAATGCATACTAAATAAGACCATGTTTCCAAGAACTGTAAAGTTATCTCAACATATGCAAAGATAAAACTTATGTGAGCAAAGTCCTCAGTTTATCCATGCATGTGTTTAGTATGTAAGGAGATCTGCAAGATGTTAACTAATGCCTTATTTCTGGACAACACAGGCAAAATATAAACTACTGAACCCCATATCATCTGAGGCCTAGGTAGGCTGCTGTATTAATCCAGCTGAAAGGTACATGGAGGGGAAGTGAGGACTCAGGAGTCCACAGGCACTGTGTCACTTTCTAACTCTATTCTCACTCACAAATGTTTTACAGCTCACCAGTACCTGCCTGCACCCACCAGCTCACCTGTCCATGTCCTCAGCCTTGCGTGACTCCTGTTGTGAAACCAGCTCTACCATGAGCACAAGGAAACAGGATCGTGAGCATCGCCTCGTATAGTAGTTTTCCACTCATATTCCAATAAAGCTTAGGAAGTTTACAATGATTAACATCATCCTGAGAATGAATTTGGACACCCCCCCCCAAACATTTAAAGCCAAGGTAAGTTTTTTTAATTTTATCCTTCTTATCTCCAGAGAGTTATAGAGTTATCTCAAAATTAGAGATATTTGCAGGTGTCTGAAAAATTGGCTGCCTTTGGTGTTAGTCTAATGAATATGTGCCACAGAAGAAATGTTCCATCACCATGCCATCTTTGGCCATTTCCCCTGTGGACTCCCAGGGAAGAGGGTAAAGGACTTTGTGTGTTACTGCACAGCTACAGATGGTAAGTCTGTTCAGACACTGTAGCAACTTGTGGTTCTAGGTGAGGACATAAAAAACCTCAAAGCAAATATTTGTCATCTTGCCTGACACTGTCACCTCCAGCAACCCTGCTGACAGCAGGCAGGACTGGAAACAGCAGTCTTGTCCTGAAAAACAGATTAGTTCAAGATTTGGACACTGAATTTATTTCCTAAATCTGAATGAGAGGGAAGTATAGCATCCTCTGATTTGTAGAAAGACCCAGACTGCAGTTTGTCCTTCACACCTTCCCTTGTCAACAGACAAGGGCCAGATACAGTACTGTGTTCGTGCAGGAGGGCCAGTTCTCAGGGACTGTGTAATGCCACCTCCACAACAGCATGGATCAGAGCCAGAGCTGGCTTAGCAAAACCTCTGAATATGTTTCTACGTGCTCTTTCTACGTACAATAGATACTGCAGCAGCCTGAGCATAGCTGTGATTTTTCAGACGTGTAAATAAAGCTAAGCTTATAAGTAGCAAAGTGGGTTGTAGAACGTGCATAGTTGGAAGAGACATGGGTGTATGAACCCCTTGAATTTGCAGTGACCTTCATCTCTGAAGCTGCATGTGTTATTCATAATAATAATAATAATCAGTCAGAATATGAGTTAATCAGATTACTCACTTCTGAGTAAATGAAATGATTTACAAGGAAAGCTCCAGTGGTTTCCTGGCAAAAAATGGGCCATCAATTTTCACTACAAGCAACTATCTCCTAAAGCAGCTTGTGCATGTGGGAACAGCCAGCTATTGTTTTGCTGATTCCGAGCAAACTGCGGTCAAGGCAGGCCGGCTTCATCAGTTGTTTGGAAACGATTGTGCCACTTTAAGAACACCAAGTGGGAGGCAACACAAGCAGAACTGAACAAACAAGTACCTGTGTACACTGCTGTGCTCACCTGAGCCTCACACAGGTGAGGGGACGCTGCCCTCACCCTCCCTTGTTCGTTCTGCAGATTGAACACCTCTAACACACGCTCTCGCTGCCTGAGAGTGGAGGATGGACACCCAAACGAGGCAGCACAATTTTTTGTGCAAGACACCCTGAGGACACTGAGAAGGTAAGAGTAGACAGAAAAGATATGAATACCTACAGGGCCACACAAGTCTTAGAGAAACCCAGAACTTATTTCAGGTAGTCAAGTCGAGAAAGGTGAAAAAATTAAATACAAATTCAACTGCTTTGTGTCCTTCCTGCAAAAACAAAGGGATGGTTAAATTATTTCTCATTTGCTTAAAAGGTTGTCAGCAGGGGAGATATGAAAAGAAACTGTAGAGTTGCTATTCATATAATTTAAGTTCACTAATATCAAAATAGTTTGCTAAATGGTTAGAATTATGTCTGCAAGTAAATTGCATAGGGCAATGCTTTCTTCTCCTTTTAAACTTAGCAGACGTTCAGTTTGCATAAGTTATTCAAACGTGTTTAAAGTCTAAATATTTCAGAACAGGAAATGTCTGTTTGACTCAGATGTAGGTAACTCATCTCTGCTACACATTCAGTAATCAGAAAAATAATAGACATATGTCAGAATGTGTTATCTGAGATAACACAAAGCCATCTTATGAGACAAAATACAAAAGTCAAAATCTTTGTGTCCAGAAAAGTGTGATTGATGATTCCTTTAAATAACCGCTGAGAAAATTCTCTTGCATTTTAACTTTTATTGTAATCACCTGCTTCCTTTGGAAGTGAGGTGAAACGAAAGGCATGATCAGCATAATCCCAACAGTGTGCTATACTACTTTTACCTTATTAAATATTTTCTGTCTTCATCATAACTTTCTTTTTCAAAATCTTCTCCCAGGTTTCACATATTTCATTTCTTCACCCAAATTTCATATTTTTTTTAAGTACTTTAAGCTAGATTTTTGTCCTGCTGTGGCTTTACTCACAGGAAGCTAAATATATGCAGATTTTACTTAATCAGACTAAACTACAGCATGCTTTATAAAGGCTGAAATCCTGTATAAATGAATACTGAACTATTTAAAATTAGCACTGAATTCAAGTGTTATTTGTAGAGGGAGATATTTATAACAAACAATTTCAATGAAATTTCTTTTAATATTTAATGATTCTGAGAATTTTCGTACACTCTTGGTTTGAAAGGTTTAGCCCTCTAGAGATCAAAGCAGCGTCATTAGATCTTTCTAAGGTTTAATATAGTTGAAATGCAGCCTTTTCTCTTAGGTACCAAACTCATTAATTTGATTTCTGGCTCTTATAGGAAGGAGTTTTAAGTGGTGCTTTTAACTTGCAGTATAGTTATCTCTTGATCATCACCCTCATTTCAAGTCCGTGATTGTGCCAGACATCCACGTTTCAAAACTTTTCATGTTCCTACCATTTCCTACCTCTGCTAGTAACACAAGAAGTGGCAGAGGAATTCACCTTTCTGCAGGTGCACATGCTTACATGGTACACTATGGACATTGCAGCAGCAATGACCTCCCTCTTCAGAAAACAAATCATGTGTAATTATCTCTAACTATTAATAGGAAGTTGGCAGTTAAGTTAGAGAACAAGTACACAGTAGCACTTGCTTTCCCCCACTTGAAGGCTAAATATTTAAATCACTGACTGTGTGAAAAATGAAGCAGAACAAGTCATCACTGTTGCTGGTTTATGCCTCTTGACTTGCTTTTCCATTAAAATAATTATGTGCCTGGGAGAAGAATGTTCACACCTCTGCAAAACAAGAAGTGTTCTGCAGCTCCAGTTGTGCTAAAGCACCTGGGAGTTCATCTTTGTATCTCACTGAGCAGCTCTCATATGCAGATAATATGAGAGCTATAAGCCCTGTTTGTAGAAGATACTGGAATTTCAATAATAAATATCTGGTTTTATTTAACGTGCTTAATTAGCAAATTTTAGTGGAATTGGTGACCTACTAAAATATCAAAGATTGTAGAATTAGTTGAAGGAAAGGAAAGGGAAAGGAAAAAGGAAAACGAAAGGAAAAGGGAAAAGGAAAAAGGGAAAAGGAAAAGGAAAAAGCCACCTGGGACCAGCAGCCAAGGAAAGGGAATCGTTCCCAAAGCCAGAAGAAAAACCCGCCGGGAGGGCGAGAGCCCAGGCTGGCTAAAGCAAACACATGTACACAGATCATAAGTCCCATTTGGAAGAAAATAATGCAGTGTCCCTCTTTGCTTTACAGCCTCGGACTCTTGA